ATAACACCTTTCCCTTTGGGGAAATAAACCCCTAGTTGTTCCCACACAGGAACTTCCCTTCACTCACATTGTCTTCTCTCGTTAATCCACAGCAGTCCCACCTTTCTGTCTGGAAATGGCCTAGTGCCTTGGCTCAGGAAACCGGAACTCTGTTTGGGAGTTGGTCCCAAGGTCGCAAACTCACCACTTGAGGGGCAGGTGGAAGAGCTCTGACACCCTCTGGATCTGCTCTACCTCTGGCCCCAAGCGCTGACCTTCAGGAGAACAAAAGCAGGAAGGGTGCAGAGGCCTCACAGGCCTGACACTGCCCCAGGGGTAAAGCCCTGCCGTTCCCAAGGCACTGCTACCTGGCCAGCCTAAGACCCAAGACAGGGATGGAACAGAGGGTGGGCCCAGGTCAGTGCACAGTTGGGAGAACACACTATTTGGGAAAAGACACTCCTTTCTTCCCTTCAAATCCTGACTCTAACATTTATATTTCTGAAGGCCACACGGATGCCATTTAAGCTCTCTGAGCCTCAGTTTCCACAGCTGTCAAAACAGATCCCACACTTTCTACTTTAAGAACATTGCTGGGCATTTTGTTCCCAGATATTATGTCGGGCTTCATCCTCCCACCCCAAACTGCCTTCAGTTCCTCAGAACGAGTCGATTATTCTCACATGGGAAAAATTCAACCAAATATCAATCATGCTCAGTGACTTACCTAAAAAATCTGGGTTTACCAGACTGTTTTAATTCTGAACCATTCAAATTGATACACATTCACTTTAATCTGTTAAGTAACACGGCCACGCTGATTTCTGAATTTAGTTTATGCATGTACATAGCAGGCATTCAATACATATTTTTCAATGAATAAATCAAATGACAAGATGAGTTATATCTATATCGATCCTATTAATCACGTCTAATCAGCCAAATTCTCTTAATTCACAATCAGTGCATGTTGCCAGGCCCCAATCCATTTTGTACTTTGAGAGTGCAGATATGTGGCAAGAAAACAGATTTCAATCATTGTAAGGCTAAAGACTATGACACTCAAGTTCCCTTCTAATGTAGGCCATGGGAAAAACGAGCAACTGAGATGTTCAATCTCCTTATTTCTTTTGGAGATTATCTGTCAGCTCCCCCAGGGTTTATACTTTTGGTAACCAAAAGACTTTATAATAGAACAACTCCTCAGGGGGGAAAAAAATTTAACAATTTTAATTCCATATGTGGGCTGTCACCAGATTTTGCAAGGAAATTCAGCAGAAGCATTCCTCTTTCAGTCTTGCTCCATAAATACTGAACAAGGAAAAACACTGCCTAAACTGATATTTGGCAAAGGAATCTGATGAAACCGGTCAGTTCTGTACCACTGGGCTGGCAACCCAAGGTTCCTCCTGGTGATTGTGTGGTTTTATGTAGCTGTGCACGTCCTACTTCAGTGCACACACAAAACACAGTGTCTTGGAGCTCACAGTGCTTGTCCGCCGAGGCAGCAGCGTCTCAGGGCAAGAAAGGACTCTACCTCCCACCCCACACAGGCACTCTTTAGTCTAAGAAAACACGCCTACTGAAGCAGACTCAAAGAAAGGAAAGCTAAGAGCCGGCTATTCCCTTTGCAAAAGAATTGCCCAAGGATTTCTTTAAAATGGAATTTCATTTAAGAAAACATGCCGGCACACATTTTGGCAATGCTCTTGATTAGACAGGGCATGGGACGCCTGAACAAGGGGCAGAATAAGGTGGCATGCTTATGCAATACAGCATGCTTGCAAGAGCATGGATCCAAAGTCAGAAGGATGGGTCCTAGTCCCTGGTGAGTCACTAATGAGCTGTGTGACAAAGCCAGTCATTTACCTTCTTTGGTTTTAGTTTCCTCACCATAGATGGAGAATCATTAATAAAAGCAAGCATTATATTCTCCCCAGTTACCTGGGCAATCAAAGGAATGTGAAAGCTGCTGGAAGACATAAAGGTGTAACCCGAAGTCGGATAACCCTTGCACTGTATATGTACATATATATGAAAATAAGACCCACCTAGAAAATTACCTGCATCCATTCTTGCTCAAACTAAATGTATTTCATCTTACTAATAAAGGGAATAATTGGTATGTAAAAGATGGTTGTGAGTCCAGATGAACAGATCGCTCTTGGAGGATAGGCACTGCCATCTTTGAGGATGTGGGATCCACTCTGTCACAGCCAGCTGTCTTTGGGTGCCCTAGGAAAGCCACACAGGCACCCACTTGTGTGCCCCCCACCCCCAGCTCTGCAGGGATTAGGCCCTAAGCCTATTATTTCATGTTTACCAGACACTAACAATGTGCTAGGAGTGTCCAGAACGCTGACTACATCATGAGCAGCTAAAAGGAACCACCAACCCACAGGACAACAGGTGTCACTCAGGTGTCAGAAACATAGCAGGGGATGCACGTCACCTCCCAGTTACTTACAGGTACTCCCTTTTACCCCCGTGGGGTCTAGGTAAGCTCTTCCTACACTCTACCCTGAAGACAGTAGTTGGATGTCTTCAACCATCATCCCTCTAGGAAATCCAAAGAGGAAAAAAATGGGACAAATCCTAACAACTCCAGGCTGGACAGAGTCGTCAGGGCTCCTCCTCAGTGTCCCCACTGCCCAGACCCCATGCTGGAGAGAGGAGAAACTCCGGGCTGGCCGTCTCCTGCTCACCTCCCATTTTCTACCCTCACATTCATATGTCCTAGAAGATAACAAGCCCCTCAAACCCTGGACAGAGAGAACATCGTAGGGTTGTATGACTAGAGTGATGATTAGAACAAAAGGAAAAATAACACCTCGAAAACTCTACATGAATTCACTGACCTTGTCAGAAAAGCCAGAACAGGGAAAGGGGTTTTAAAGAGAAAACCAGATGGACAGGTGACTGCCCATCACATGGTACAATGATTCTCAAACTTTAATGTGCATCAGAATCACCTGGAAAAAAAACAGTTGCCATCAAGTCAATCCCAACTCATGGCCCCATGTATGTCAGAGTAGAACTGTGCTCCACAGGGTTTTCAATGGCTAATTTTTTTGGAAGAAGATAACCAGCCTTTCTTCCAAGGTGCCTCTTGCTGGACTCAAACCTCCAATCTTTCAGTTACAGCCGAGATGTTAACAGTTTGTACCACTCAGGGAATCCAAATCACTTGGAGGGCATGGTAACACAGAAACTCAGAGTTTCTGAGTCAGTAGCTGATGCTGCTGGTCCAGGGACCACACTTTGAGAACCACTGTCAATGGGCCAGGGCTGCCCAGTCAGTCATTTCCACTGAGGAAACTTCAGGTCCTGATTCAGTCATGTCCTCACCATTTACAACATCTCATTCCACCCCCAACAATGCCACCACCACCCTCATCCCCCAAATTAAGCCTTAAGAAAACTCCCAATAGGAATTAAACAGCTGTCCCTCCCTTCCCCTTGTCCCACTCATACACCCGTGCTGCCATGGATGAAAAAGAACCATGATCAAGCTGTTCTTGATGAATATTTCTCAGGACTGAGTCCAGCTGGCATATAAGATGATTTTGCAGGCGTGAGTTATGACGCAAAACAGCAGACACAGCCATGCAAGAAGAGCGTGCAAGGGTTCCTCTGATCCAGTTCTCTGGCCCAGTGCGAGTCCCTTCTCTCCTAGGTGACAAGAGCGTGCCAGGGAAATGTTCTGACCTGCTTTTCTCCTTGCTAATTTATCCTGATGCCCTGCCACAAAGCACTGGGATTCCCTGCCGAGAGCTCTCTTCATGTCACCAAACTCCCACCCCACCAGCCTCACCAACAACCCAGGGCAAAGCAAAGCAGCGAGTGGCCACAGCATACCGCCCATTGGTGGGTGGCAGGGCAAAATCTCTCAAGACCAGGATCAGAGAATTTCTGGCCTGAAATTCTCTGGGACCATTAAAAATATGTCTTTCCTTCTAAAAGCTAATTACGTTATATGGTATACCATTTGTCTAACAGTGGGGGTTACTGCTACGATAATATTACTCTGTTCTATGGGGGGTTAATGGAAGTTCCTACAGAGAGCAGCGCGTGAATAATAGAAACGCTCTGTAATAACAGCCTATCCTACAATTCTCTTCTCCTTTGCTTCAAATTGGAAAATCTGGCCAATATCCACAGACAAGTCAGCGTGGCCTTTTCTGGCTGTGGGGTAGGCACAGTTACACACATTTTGGGCTGCAACTGTGAGACTTAAATCAACCTCCGGTCAAAAAGGGAAAAAGAATGAAGAGTGATTCATTTACAGTATTTTGATAAGTATATGCAGTGCATGTGTTTGCAAATACCTGGTCTTTAAGATGGTTTTGTGCATCCAAAGATGCATATTTGATGGAATAAATGTGATTTTCCCTCCCATTAGAAGAAAATCAATTAGCTCTTCTCACATGCAAAACTGTCCAAGAGTTCCCAGGCTCAGAGTGCCCAATCTAGTGTAAACCCCATGAAATACTGTGAGTCAAACAACACTCTACAAAGCAGTAACATCTACACAATCTCCAGAAAAACCAGTTGCCATTGAGTCGACTCCAACTTGTGATGACCCCATGTGCGTCAGAGTAGAACTGTGCTCCACAGGGTTTTCAATGGCTAGTTTTTCAGAAATAGATCACCAGGCCTTTCCTCCGAGGTGCCTCTTGAACCTCCAACCTTTCAGTTAGCAGCCAAGCATGTTAACTATTTGCATCACCCAGGGACTCCCATACAGCCTCTACTTGCACCAAAATTATGAATTGATGTCAAATATATCACATTCAAGACCGAGGCCACAATCCCAGACAACTGTATTCTGAAAACTCTGGAGCAGAAGGAGAGCCCAGTCTCAGGTGACAATATTGTCTAGGGTCTCAAGAACATTGATTAAATACTCTTGGCCTCCCCTCTGCCCCTAAAAGAAGTCCATTCACTTGCATCCATGGATAAAATCAAGCTGTGCAAGAGCTGCCTTCGCACCCAACACCCTTGGTAATCCCTGTCCTCACCTGTTTTCCAGGAGAGTCATGCACACCACCTCTCGCACCCCTGGGTTGTTGGCCTTCTCCACTGAGCAGCCCTGCAAGTTCCAGGTGGCCAGCCTCAGCACAGGCCGCCCATCCCTTGTGCCTCCAAAAGCCTCCACCGAAGGCCGAGTGGAGATGATCTGTGTGGGCCCCCCTGGCGGCAGGTCCAGGTCCTCACTCTGCAGGCTCAGTGAGGTGGGGCTGGGGTGAGGCTTGGCAGTGAAGGTCAGGCCCCCGTTGGTGTGAGTGGACGGGGGCCTGGACCTCTCGGCAAACACCTGGTGCCGAATCTTGTCCAAGAAGGCAGCACTGATACCGTCCATCCTCACCAGGTCCTCCACGCTGCGAAAGGGCCCGTGCTCCCGGCGGTAGTCCACGATGCCAAGGGCCATCTTCTCTGTGAGGCCTCGCACGCTCATTAGCTGAGCCGGAGTGGCTGTGTTGATGTTGACACGTGGGATGAGTGGCACGGCGGTGGCCAGGTGGTGAGGCTGCTGCTCCGCCAGCAAGTCCCGCCGCAGGGAGCTGGGAGAGTGCTGCGCGGAGCTGCCCTTGCTGCTCACGCAGATCTCAAACTTGACCTGCTCCAGCTTGGTGGCTCCCACGCCGCTGACCAGGGCCAGGTCCTCCACCTTCTTGAAGCCGCCTATGTACTCGCGGTACTCAACGATGCTGCGCGCCACGACACGTGTCACCCCCGGCAGGGTCATCAGCTCCTCCTCCGTGGCCGTGTTGATGTTGAGCCGCTCCTGGTTCACCAGGATGTTGCTGAAGTTGCAGGCCGCGCTGAACTTGCGGCTGTGGGACAGGTCCGAGGGGTCCCTGGGGATGGAGCGATGGCAGCCGAGGGTGCTCCCCATGGCGGGCGAGGAGTAGTGGCCAAGGAAGGCCTCGCCTCCACAGAACTCTCTGGCTAGGGAGGAACCCAAGAGACCTCGAACACAGAAGATTGGAAGATGCAGGATTCAGGGGCAAAAGCGATTACCAAAGGCAAGAACCAAATCTTTCATGCTCAGAGAGTCAAAAGTACCTTTGACTTGGCCACCTGGAAAACAAATTAACAAGCACACAAATCGACTCAATTAGTCACTCAGTTTGCATCAGCACTCCCTATCTAGAGCTGGAGTTCTTAACCAGGGGTCCCGAGCTGGTGGCTGTCCCTGAGAACCCCTGAAAATGCACACACAATAAGGCTGGCCCATGTGAATTTTCCTCTGGAAAGGTCCAGGTTTTATCACACTGGGGTCCAAAGAGGCTATGAGGCGATTCTCTTGGAAAGAGACCTATCAACCCGACGTCTCTCCAACCGCCTCTCAACTCTGGCAGAGCTGGGGCCATCTCGTCCCAACCCGGGCTCGGTCAAAAGGCGGGAGCACCTCCGCGCTGGATACTCCACCACTCCACCACCTGCAACTTGGGAGCTCCGTCCTCGCCAGTGCGGATACTGAGAAGGGGTTTAGCGACCCCCGACCGACTGACCCGCCGCCAGTCCCCGCGCCCACCTCTCGGCCGCATTCCCCGGGCGTCCGTCCTTCGTCCACCTGCAGCTCCGAAGCCCAACCCCAGCCCGGGACAGCGAGGGCCCCCTGCCTCCAACACTGGCGCCTGCGCGGGCGGAGGTCAGTGGCCTGGCAGGCCCCCTTCCACGCCGCCCCAGGCCGCGCGCCGCTGCTGTTTCTGGGGGAGAAATTCTCAGCGTTGCTTTTCCAGAGCTGGGCTGCCCGCAGGCGGCGGCGGCGGCGGCAGCGGCGGCGAAATCCCAGCGCCGCGGCGGTACCAGGACTTGCGGCGTCGCCGTAGTTGCGTTTCTCCAGGCAAAAAGTCCTGCGCCCAACTGGGCGCAGGATCCAGCAGAGCCACGTTCAGCCCGCAGCACCAGCGCCACCGCGCCCGCTCCTAGTTGGTGTCAAAACCGAAGTCCCGGCCGTGCAGCCCGCGCCTCTGTCGGCACCGCGGCCACGCCTCCTCCTGCGCTGCAACTCCTCCCCGGGGCTCCCGGGGCACATGGGGGCGGGGAGAGCGGAACCCCAAAGCGCGGAGGCGGGGTCCTGAGTGCGAGGGGCGGGGTCATGGAGCTCAAGGGGCGGGGCCCGAGGGAGGGGAGGGGTGGAGAGTGGAACCAGGGAGCGCGGAGGCGGGGCTTGGGATATCCGGAGGCCGGGTCGTCGAGCTCGGGGACTGGGCTCGGGCGCGTGGGGATTGTAGGGTAGGTCCCCAGACATGGGGCTGAGGCGCTGGAGCGCAAGGGCGAGCCCTGGGAGAGCGGGAGACAGGACCCGACAGTATTAGGAGCGGGACCAGGAAACGCTGAGTTGGGGCTAGGGACCGAAGGAGCGGGCGGGCGCCGCGGAGGCAGGGGCGGGTTACAGGGAGGCAGTCCTCTGCTCTGCCAGTCCTGAGCCCGCGTTGTGGTCGGGGCAACCCGCGCGCCCACATCGGGCTGGTTGTGTCGCGTAGTGGCTCCTCAGCGTCGCCTAGGGCGAGACCTGCGTGGCTGCTTTTTGAGGCCGAGCCCCGCAGGGGAGAGGGGCGCACAGGAGGACAGGAGCTTAGCCCGCTTTAGGGGTGTTCGGGGATGAGGGCCGGGGCACTCCTGTGGGGACGGCACGCTGCCGGTCCAGGGCCTCGCTCAGTTCTGCAGTCTCAAGTTTGGCAGGGACAGGGACAAGCACAAACCAAAGTCAGGCTGAGAACGTTTGAGAGGGGACTGAATGGGATCTTCTTCATTTCGACCAGTGGCGACACTAAGGGGGTGAGAGGGTGCAGACCGCATGGAGTGACACTGTCAGAGGGGGTGACATCAAAATGACTATAAACTTTTTTGTGCAGTGTTTCAGCAGAAATTAGTTTTTATAAAAATATCCCTGTAGTTATAAAAACAAAAATAATTTTCCTAAACCCAGTTTACATGTATCAATATACCTACAAGGCTTAAAACTCCGTGCTAATTTTACTTTTTGAACCTTCTAATGTACTACGCTCAGAGCGATTATTACCCAATTACAATGATGCTTGGAATCATGTGGTTTCTTCTGCGTGTGCTGGTACTTTTACTGCTGCAGGTGTTTTTATAGTCGCTGATTTTGTCAGGCTGTCTGATGTTTTAGATACAATATTGGAAAATTTGTATTTGTGAACCTATATCAATAAATTTTTAGAGAATGAAGTAGTAATTAAAAGAAAGGAAAAAGTGATATATGGGAATTATTATGAGTAATATTAGTACAGAAAACGTTGCTAAGGATTCTCTATGGTCTGGTACAGGAGGAGGTCCATGGGGGGAAGGTGACACCATGAGTTACCGCACTGAGTGACATCAACCCTAGTGACGCCATTGATTTCGACCCTCCATTTTAGGCCTTCTGGTTTCTTCTGCTAGCAGATTACCTTTGCTCTGCTCTCTGGAGAGATATTCTTACGCAGCTCGTGCTACCAGAGGGCATGCACCACCGACTTATTTAGATATGCAGTCACGTGTCATCTACAGTGTTGTTCATTGTACATTTCACTCTGAGTATATATGATATGTTTCTCTAAGTATTTAATCATTAAAAAGGAATGAGATGCCAGCTGGAAATGGAGGCTGCTTCCCAAAACTCTTAACTGTTTTTGGATCACGTTGCTAAATGACAATTTAGTTAAAAATTAAAGAGCCTGTTGCATTACGGTGGATATACCGAACTAGAGCATTGGATCAAACAAGCCATGTGGGGTTAGCAATGAATACTTTGACCCTGGGCTTTTAGTGTCCTCTTCTGATGTTTCATTCCCAACCAATTTGACTGCTTCTGCTTTAAATTCTGGGGACTGGGTCAGCAAAAACAGTAACTCCGGGAAGGCAGAAGGTACATCAGATGTGAAGTGAGGGGCAGCCAAGACTGGGAGGAATGCATTGCTATAGCTGTGAATTAAAAATAACTTAGTCTAGGGGACATCCCTAGACTAAGTGAGGGTCAAGATGAGATTTGAAAATGAATAGGGAAATGATGCCTTAACCTACAGCCCCCAGCCCTCCAGTCTTTGCAAAGCAACCTCCGTTTCCCCGGTCAATACAGTTCAGCCAGGCTACTGACAGCTACCTTCGCACCGACACTTGTGCATTGGCCAACCTGGATGCTGTCCCAAATGCCACCGTGACAAATAGTATTGCAGGAAGCAACATCTTCATCTGGTATTACCTCAATATAGATTTGTCTCTGTCTACTGAAGTAGGCTCCTTGCTTCCCAAATTAATGGAACACCAGGCATTGACAGTATACTTGAAAATTCTAAATCAGACCCTGCCTTACTGGGAATCATGACATAGGATGACACAGAATGACCACAGATGGACACCATGGACAGTGGCAAGGGATGTTTCTTCAGGCTCCACACTTCATCATGGAATTCTGCGTTCTCTTTTACTCTTGTGTACAGATGCTCAGTCCTGAATCCTACAATCCTACAATCAGGAGAATTTTCATCCAGGTCTCTTAATGCTTGCAGATGTGCCACACTATTTGCCAAGAGGTAACTGTCTGCTGATAGAAGTGGAGAATCCTATTTCTTCTGGTCAGATACTGGACATGGAATTATTCTTACATACAAACCTGCACCTGTTTTGGTGTTACTCAAGGGCTTAGCAATAGGGCCAACACCAGCTATAAACAGGTGCCTCCATTCACAACTTCCTGGAACCTGGAAGTGTTATTTCTTCTTCCTTCAGAGGAGTTGGCCATCTCCCAGGGAAATAAATTCAAAGGGAGGGATGAAGCTTTAGCAGTACCAGTCAGGGTTTCTTTGCATCAAATTCCTCCTTTAAAGCTCAAATATACCTAATACATTGCTTCATTTCATGGCTGACAATTGAAGACCTTTGTCATTTCTCTTCTTCTTAAATGCCTTTTCCAACTGGCATTTTATTTCTTACAGTGCATCTGGCTGGAGATCACTGTGGCAAAGAACCAACAAAACAAGGTGACTTTATTTACAGCACAGTAATGGAAAACATTTACCATCGTAGGCCACCGAGTTGCCCCCCCCCCAGAATTATTATTATTACAGAAAATAACATTCATTAGTCTTTTAAGCTGATGTGATTATCATGATCACACTTAGGAAATCTAGCTCCCATTTGCTTTATTCATTTCCTCTAAAAAACAACCCTTCCAGTTAGTTATAGACTTCCACTTTTCCAGAAAACAGTTTATTCTTTCTTGTTTATTGAATTTGAAAGTTTATGAAATGTTCTTCTTGGCCAAGTCTATTACTTTGGTTTCTGAGTGTCTTATTAAGAGCCTTCTTTTAGCACAAAATAATCCAGAGGCAGAAGAGGACATGAAGCAAATTCCTACCTTACGACAAGTCAGAGTAATATCCTTGGACTCTGCACTTCTGGGGATAGGGTAGGGGGATTCTTCAGCCAGACAGTGGGAAGCAATGACTCTGGGTCGGGGTGGGGGATGTTGGTAAATGAGAAGGCCAGAAGGAGGAGGGACCATTGGCTGGAGCTGGGGGGAAAGGCTCTCCTATAAAGAAAGGCTGGAGATCCTATTCTTAAAAATCAGCCATTGAAAACCCTATGGAGCACAGTTCTACTCTGACACACGTGGGGTCACTATGAGTTGGCGTAGATGCAACAGCAACTGGTTTATACAGACCAACAGCAGGTAGACCTCCCCTGCACCACCTTCCCCTTTAGTCTCGCCTGGTTTGCCCTGTCAACACCATCCCCTACTCAACCTCACGATGCTTTTTTCTGATTTTTCCCTTCTCTTCCCTTTCAGCGTTGCCATTGGTGTTCATTTTTAACAACAGTTCTCCTACATATTGGAAAACTAACATGGTGAGGCTGGTCCCTGACTCTGTAGTCTCACTTATAGGGAGACTCCCTTAAGAGATAACCTCAAAGAGCTTAAAGTCGTGTCCTCCAAAGTGTGATCTGATGGTGGTGAGGAAGAGGAATTTAGGAAGCACCAGACATAGCATTAAATAAGATGGAACCATTTAATGGGGAAACTGTCCGTTTTCATTTCTGTTAGTCACTCTAATAGTGTTGCAGAGAAACTCTCAACTTGGGGCCATTGTGACCATAACACCTTCCAGCATTTGTTAATCACCTTCAGTAGAGAAAATACAGAACTCAGGCTCAGAATCTGGGCAGGCAACAGCATCTAGGTAGAGTTTAATTATATTGT